CACTCTCTCACTTAACACAGAGTTTTCTAAATGTATTATTAGTTCATTTATTCCTCCATAGGAAACACTGTTTTAGGATTCGAGGAGTGGCCAAGCAGGACTTGGAAAATGCTGTTCAAAATAGTTCAGCTTTGGGACCAGCAGTTGGTGTAATGGCTATATCTCTGGACTCCCATGTAGTCCGACCGTGGTTCGAGTCCCTGACCCAGTGGCTTAAACTCACGCCAGGCGTGTGTGTGTGTGTGCCCAAGATCCCGAGAGGAGAACGGAGGAGAAGGGATTGCGACATGGCCATCCTCCCTGGTGGGTGATTTCTTGCTTTCTGTCTCTTTGTCTCTCTTTGTCTTTCTGGCGAGCACATGCGCCCTGTAGCAAAAACCTCTCCAAGAAAAAAAAAAGATAGTTCAGCTTTTACTTGAGGATTATGCTGGGCCTCTCATGATACGGTATTTTAGATGCAAGAGCTCTTAGCTGTTTGCAGATTCGTTCTCCCTAGGTTGTACCGTGTACTGTTCCCAGTTCTGTGGAAGCAGCTGCATCTGCTGTGGGGGTGTTGTTGAGAATATTACCAAGCGTCTCAGAAGCCTCACTGAGAAATTTGATTAGAACTACATGCCTGGGAAAGGTACGCTCCTTCTGAAGAAAATTTATATTTTCATACAAGAATTGTGAGGGAGTTTTCAAAAAGTTCATGAAAAATGTATGCAGTGGGCTGTCCCCCAACCCTCCCCAACCTCCATAGCATACATTAAATGCTGTGAAGAAGCCAGATACCACATGGCTGACTACAGTTCAAATCCGGGCCCAGTGGTTTGAAATACATAGCAGGTGCATGTGCATGCGTGCCCCAAATCCTAATGAACCGGAAAAATGAAGGAAAAAGGATTGTAGTGTGACCACATCCCATGGGGGGAGGGTGCTTTCTCTCTCCTAATTAAATAAATGCTTATTAGGAAAAAACTGCACGGATTTCACATTTTTTTGCACCAGAATAAACTTGTATTTTAATCCCATTTTGGCATGAAGATTTTGAAATCCCTCGCATTTATGACTGCATTCTGGCTGCAAGAAAGCCCAGCTGTTGTCCCTGTTGAAGGTCATTATAATCCAAGAATTAGCAGTCTGTGTTTCACTTTCCAACTTTGCTCTTCGACTTTTTAAAATGCATATATATATACTTTTTTTTTTTTTTTTTAGAGAGAGATTTTGCTATAGGGTGTGTGTGCGCACTAGAGAGACAGAGAGAGATAGAAAGTGTGAAATCACCTCCTGGAGGGATGACTACTCCCCAACCCTCTTCCTCCATTCTCCTCTCTCAGGATTTTGGGCATGCACACACACGCACCCTGCATAAGCCACCAGGTTTGGGACTCGAACCACAGTCAATTATGTGGGAGCCCAGAAATGTAACCATTATGCCATCTGCTGGCCCCTTATTACTATTTTTTAAAAATTTGACCAGAGAGAGACAGAGAGAGCAAAAGAAAGGAAAAGCGAGAAAGCAAGCCACCAGGTCCAGGGCTTGAACCACAGTTGTCCATGTGAAGGTCCATTGCCTTAACCACCATACTACCTAATGACCCCTAGATATATTTTTTACTTTTGTTTTTACTTTTTATTTTTTACTTTTTTGAGAGGTTTTGCTATAGGGCGTGTGCTCTTGTCAGACAGACAGAGAGAGACAGAGAGACAGAAAGCGAGAAATCACCCCCCAGAGGAGATGGCCACGCTGCAATCCCTTCTCCTCCATTCTCCTCTCCGGATCACGTGCCCGGCGTGAGTTTTAAGCCACTGTGGCCGGGACCCCCACCGCGCTACATGGGAGTCCAGCAACATAGCCATTACGCTAACTGCTGGACCCCCTAGATATATTTTTTTAAAAATTGTTTATTTAATTTTATGTATCATTATTATCACTTTTTAATTTGCCACAGGGCATGTGTGTGCACCAGAGAGAAAGAAGGAAAGTGAGAAAGCAAGCCACCAGGCCTGAGACTTGAACTGCTGTCAACCCTGTGGGAGTCCAGCTCCTTAACCACCACACCACCTGCTGGCCCTTTGATCTCTGACTTTAACTTATTCTTTCCCAAGTTCGTGTTTTAATTTTTTAGGCTACTTATTCATGTATAGTTTTGTCAGTAAGCTCATATCCTATGGGAATAAAAAGGAATATTTAAAAAAAAAAACTTTGGGCAATATGAAGTACTCCTAAAGGAGCAAAACAAAGCAGAGAAAGATTCAGAAAGCTCAGACTTTGGAGTAGTCAGATTGAAAACCAAGGTCTCAGCAGAAAATGCCCCTATGGGCAAGGAGCCAGAGGTTGCCACCTGCCACGCCACATTTCTTTATGACAGTGAAAGGAAGGGGGTCTGAGAACCTCCAGGAGTCTCTTAGACCCTACTGTGGGGGAGAGGGGTCCATGAAGCCAAAACTCTTTCGTAATCATACTAAGAGGTTATTTGTCTTTTTTTTAAAGTTTCATTCTTTTTTCCATGATGAACAAGAAGGAGAGATAGACAGACAGATGAGCAGCCCATCAGAGTCTTCAGGCTGCAGTCTACTCCTAGCTTCAGCCAGCCCTGGATCATGGGCACACAGCACGCCCATGTTCAAGGAGGGCTCTGGAAGCAAACCAGGATGTTCCCACATGGGTCAGCCTCACAGAGCATTGCACTGCTGATGCACCACCGTCTGGGCCCTGCTATTTTTTTTTTTTTCACTCTTATCTTCTTTGCTGCTATTTTCTCTTGAATACACAGTGGTGTTTACCAGAGAGAGGTTCCCATGACAAGTACTGTCACACAGAATAAATGCAAAGCAGATGTATACAGGCCTGATGTGCCCAGGGAGGTCCTGTGACACAAACCCAAGACTTTTCTCATGTGGGTCCAGCCACACGGCACCAGCTCCTGCCACACTTTTTTTTTTTTTTTTTTTTTTAAGAATTATCTACTTAATTTTATTTATTAGTATTTTTTTTAAAAGAGAGGTTTTTTTTTGCTATAGGGTGTATGCACTTGCCAGAGAGACAGAAAGCAAGATATCACTCCCTCACAGGGAGGATGGCCATGCCACAATCTGCCGGGACCAGCTTGGCATTAACACGCTCTGAACAACAATCCCTTTTCCTCCATTCTCCTCTTGGGATCTTGGGCACTCCTGTACATGCGCCCCAATATGAGTTAAGCTGCTGTGTCTGGGACTCAAACTATGGTCGACTAAGTGTGGGAATCCAACGACGTAACCATTATGCCATCCTCTGGTTCCTATTATAATTATTTTTTAATTTGACCAGAGAGGGAAAGTGAGAAAGCAAGCCACCAGGTCTGGGACTAGAACTGCAGTCAGACATGTGGGAGTCTAGTGCCTTCACCACCATGCCATCTACTGGCAATTTTTAATTTTCAGTAGGGAAGTGACTCTCAGTCAATTGCTTTTGTTAGTGTGTGTTCTGTAGGGATTCACCAAATCTTTATTGGGTGTCTACTACGTGCTGAGTGTTGTTCTAGCCACCAGGGATATAGCAGGGGACAGCACACACACATTCTCACCTCCAGGAGCTTTCTTTCTAGTATTTCACAGCAGAGCTGAAGGCCGTTGTCGCAGGAACAAGTGGTGATTCAGTCGTGGCCCTCTGCATGTCCAACAGAAGCACTCCAGTGCCTCTGTTGGGGTGTGTTCCTGAAATGCGGGGTGTGTGCACCTGTGGCCATGATTTGAGGTGGCTCACGGACAGGGGTGGCAGTCAGTAACTTCAATTGTACAGTGCAAAAGCAAATGCCTGTTCAATGTTCTTTCAATTCAGAGAATTTCTCCGGTAGGTGCTACTAGACTGTAACATTTCTCTAAACTTGACAGTTTCCCTTTTTAACAAAGAGTGGGCCCCGAATTCACGACTTCAGAAAGCCAGCCTCTCACTATAATGCAATAGGACTGTTTTGCACAATTAATGAACTCAGAGGTGAGTACCAGCTGCTGCTGTGTGTGTGGTTTGGAGACAAAACAATCTCAGCACTAATGCAGTGGTTCTCAAGGTGTGGAACCCCTACCTACAGCATTGCCTGGGGGCTTGCTGAAAGGCAGATTCCTGGAATCCCATCTCAGAGCGACTGAGTCAGAGTCTCTGGGGGAAATCTCAGCAATACTGCCACTCCCTAGGGATTCAGATGCTATGAAAATTTGAAAGCCAAGGGCCAGCAGATGGCGGTGGTTAAGGTGATGGACTCCCACATGGCTAACCCTAGTTTGAGTCTCAGACCAGATGGCTTGAAAATCATGGCGGCCTGTGCTGCCCACATGCCCAAGATCCAGAGAGGAGAAGGGAGGAAGAGGGATTGTGGCGGCTATCTGCCAGGGAGGGGTGATTGCTCACTTTCCCTCTGCCTTTCTCTCTCCTCGAAATGCACTTGCCCTATGGCAAAAACCCTGAAATGAATGAATGAGTGAATGAATGAATGGATGAATGGATGGATGGATGGAAAGCCCCTGCTCATTCGGGTTCTTTCCTTCAGTCAACCAATGGAGAACCTCCCTGGATCCCCTTGGGGCCCCAGTGCCTGTCCCTCCTCCTACCATGTCCAGTTGTTTGTGAGTGTCATCCAGGGCCACGCTGGTCGTCTCCTTCAGCTGCTTGCTGACGATCTGGAAGAGGTTCAGTGTTGCCATCTTGATGGTGCCAAGCAGGAGGGTCTTCTTGGCCGCGGTGTTCTGAATGTGTGCCCAGCGAGATTCCTGGGGACAGGATGAGGGCGGGCTGTGAGTGAGGCGTATATGTGCACGTGTGCGTGTGTCCATAACCCTCACTTACCCAGAGCCCAGGAGTCCCCGGCCGTCCCAGCCCCTCTCACCCAGATGATGACGTCGCTGCGGGCGCGGTCGAACCGCATCTGCAGCCGCGCCAGCTCGTTGTTATGCTGCAGGATCTCGTCGTCCTTCTCCTCCATGTAGCGGGCCAGCCGCGCTTTGGCACGCTCGATCTTCTCCTGGCCCTCCTGCGCCGACTGCATGAGGTCATGGTGCATGCTCACCAGCGTCTTGTAGCGCGCGATCACTTCGTGGATCTCCTCGAACTGTGACAGGCCGGGGGCTCGGGTCACTACACCTGGGCCTGTGGGGCCTGATTCGGGTGGCCCAACCCACCAACCCCTGCCTGGACACCCGAACACTGGCACAGGCAGGCCCCTGGCGGTGACGACGTTGGGGTCCCCAGTTCTGGGCTGCCCATGCCGTGTGTTGGGAGAATACACAGCAGGACCAGCTGCATGTTTGGATCACCAGGACGCTTTCAAAAGGTCACTTGCCGACCTCAGATCCAGAGATTCTGGTTAATAAACAGGTCTGAGGGGGCCCCTGGCCTCTGAATTCTGCAGAAGGTCCTCCAGGTCAATCTAGGGAGAGCCAGGGTTGCAAATTGCTTCTGGAGGACATTTGAGATGACTCCTAAGGTGGTAGTTTTCCTATTCCAAGGAACCAAGAACCGCTTATAAGCCAGGAGCTGTGCTAAACGCAAGGGACACAGCAGGAGATAGGAGAGCCCCCTGCCCTCTCTGGGAGCCGGGGTGGAGGGAGCACAGACAGACAGGCAAAGAAACCGGCAGTTGCAACACAGAGTGATAAGCCCTATCTGTGAGTAGAGGGTGTGGCCGGCCCGTGGGTGATGCCTCCGGTCAACGTCTCTGAGGAAGAAGTGGGGCTGGAGAGGTAGAGTGGGGCAGGTGGCCTGCCAGCAGCTCTCATCCTCCAGCATGGTCCAGAACCTGCCACTCTGGCCCTAACCTGCAGGCCCCACGTAGCGGAACAGAAGACCTACAACCTATCCTCTTTAGAAGGTTCCCTGATGCCAACTCACCTCCCCAGGGGCTTATCAAACTGTGCCTTCCAGCCACCCAGGGGACACTCCCTGAGTGCTTTCTCCACCTCGTGACATTTCCAGAGATAGATTGGTGTCCCAGGAACTGCCCTTCTGGCTTTTCCCCAGATATGCCTCTGTGGGGAAGGGCCACTTGACCCAGTGTGGGAGCGGGTAGGAGCAGTCCAAAGAGACTTCCTGGGGTGATCAGAACAAAACTGGACGTTGAATAGAAGATAGCCAGCCAGAAGCAGGCGGGGGCAGCTGAGGCAGATTGCAGTGGAGGGAACAGCCTGGGTAAAGACGAATGGGGTGTGTGTGGCTTCTTCAGGATGCTCAAGGTACAGTCGTTCGGTAGGACGATGGCATAGTGGTAATGCTCCGTGATGCTGAAGCCACATGGGAAGGTCCCAGGTTCGTGGCTGAGGACCTCCTTGCACATGCCAGGGTAGGGGTGGAGGGCTGTGCTCACATGGGCTAGCTGAGGCCGGGAGTGGATGACAGCATGAAGAATTCTGTTGGGAGTGTTTCCCTCTGTCTCTGCCTCTCTCTCAATAAATAAATAAATAAACTTAAAAAAGAAAAAAAGATGGGGGGAGGGCAGGAGAGAGATTGCCCTGAAGAAGAAAACAGTACCCAGGAAATCCTGGAAAAGAGGTGGGCCCTATTCATTAAATGACTTGAAGAAGTGGAGAGACGTCTTCATGTCCGCATTTCCGAGAGGCCATCCACAACGCAGCGGTGCACGGCAGTTCACGGGACCAACCGCATCTGCACAACGGGAGCGAATCTCTCAGACTTCACGCAGATGTCAAAAGGACTCAGGGGCCATCTTGAAGCGCCCGCTGCCCAAAGATGGGGCAATTA